TCAGGTGAGAAAATATTTTGTAACAACTCTATAGCATGGCTTCCAGGATCCTCACTAGGGGTCCAATTATAAAAGCTACCTCACTAAAGGAAGTTCAAAGTATGGTGTCCCATCCAGTATTTATAGTTCATTATCCTTCCTTTCAGTCCAGACACAATTCACCAATCAGAGTTCACTTTCCCCATAAGCAATGTTGCCTAGTGCCATTTTGATACAAAACATCTTTATCTGTTCACAGGAACACACAGCTAAGCAGTTAACCAAAAGTCAAAGTCTCAGGCAGCATCAGTCAATTCTTTGTCCACATTAGCATAACAATTATATAAATTTAATAATAATGATATATATTTAAATATAAACATGCAAAAGACCAAAGAAAGTTAATATAAAATATGTTAGTTAATAGGATTATATTAAAGTTAAATTTATTGAATGCCTTGTTTGTATTTTGATTATATAGAATGTCTACATTCTTAGGAGATGCTGAAATATTTAAAGGTGAAATGTCACAATGTCTGCGATTAACTCTCACAAGGTTCAAGAGAAAAAAAACATACACACATGCATACATACTCACAAGTATACATAAAGAAAGCAAACTGGGAGCCCTGGCTGGGTGGCTCAGTTGGCTGGAGCATCATCCCGTACACCAAAAAGCTTGTGGGTTCAATTCTTGGTCAGGGCACATGCCTAGGTTGCAGGTTCCATCCCCGGTGGGGGCGTGTATATAAGGCAACCAATCAAGGTTTCTCTCTTACATCAATGTTTCTCTCTCTCTCTCTCTCTCTCTCTCTCAAATCAATAAAAACATATCCTCGAGTGAAGAATAAAAAGATAAAATAAATAAAAAAAATACAAAGAAAGCAAATTGACAAAATGTTAAAAATTGGTGGATCTACATAAAGGGTATTTGAATCATAATTATACTGTTTTTGTGACTTTTCTGTAGATTTGGAATAAAAAAACATTAATGGTAAAAAACTAAAAATATATATATCAACATTATAACAGTGATTGTGCCTTCTGGTGGTAAAGTTATGGGTGAACTTTTTTCTTCTTTCTAGCTTTCTATGTTTTATAAAATGTTTGCTTTTTAAATTTTTTTTAAAATGCCTGAGGTATCTGCCCTAGCCAGTTTAGCTCAGTGGATGGAGCGTCGACTCACCGACTGAAGGGTCCCAGGTTCAATTCTGGTAAAGGGCATGTACCTCGGTTGCAGGCTTGATCCTGGCCCTGGTCAAGGTGCGTGTGGGAGGCAACCAATCAAAGTGTCTCTCTCACATCGATATTTCTCTCTCTCTGACTCTTCTCCTCCCTTCCACTTTCTCTAAAAATCAACGGAAAAATACCCTCGGGTGAGGATTAACAATAACAACAAAAATGCATGAGTTATCTATATTTGAGAAGAGGTTTTTGAAAAGAGGTTCTGTGTTCTAGGTGCACTTGAGGTGATTAACACAACCCTCATACCTGAAAAGGGGCACTATTTCCTTAATGTCCTTGAGCTTCTTAACTTCCTCATCTCGAGCAGGTGCACACAGTGTCCCCATCATGCCAATAATGAATTCAACCAGCTTGGAAATGTCAAGGGCCCCATTCTCTGCCTCCTGCTTTATGAGATCCAGATCCAAGACTTCTGTAATCTGGTTTCTCAGTCTAGTGTGACCAGGCAGCAAGAAAGATAAGAGAGTCTGCAAAAGAGTACAGCCAAGTTTAATCAGTTTTCTAGTCAGACATCATTTTTTATTATATATACAGGAATTTACTCCTACCCAAATGAGGGCTTACCAACTGTTACTATAAGGTTGCACATATTTTAACCCCTCATTCAACAAGTCTCCAGAAAAACATGTCTAAAAATCATTTAGAGCTATTTAAGTTTCCATTTAAGTTCTAGGTAATGCTCAACTGGATGCAATATGAATAGAAGTGAGGAAAGTAAAACACATTAATTAACACAAGCCTGTGAGCCAGCCACAGAGGCCAATTTCCACAGAAACATCTCTTCTTTCGTACTACTGTAAAAGGCATCACAAAAACAGCCCTACCTTTCACTCAAGGCCTTCTCTATTCCTCAGGCTGGATCACTTTTTGGCCACTATAAATTGAACGTGTCCACACCTATTGAAAATTTTATAAATCACCTATATTTCATAAAATAAATTTTCTCCAAATAATTGTTTTTTAAAATATTAATCTTTTCTTTGTCTACAAAGGAATGCCTTCAGGTTATCATAGCTTGTTTGAAACTTTAAAAAGGGCTTTACGCCAAAAGTACTCAATCCACATTTTGGCAAGTAATTTAACTTCATCCTTAATTTCTTTAGTCTTCTGGCACAGTAACACAGAGAAGTTGAATATTCCTAACACACCAGAAAAGCACCACAATTTGCTCTTCACCTTACCTCTTTGATCTCCCCGAGAAGTTTAACGGCATGGTCATAGGTTGGGGGGTCCTCACTTAGCTGGACACTCAAGCAATCCCAGAAAGCTTTATGTACAATCTCCTTTACTTTCTTCTCCAAACTGGAGGCAAATGGGGGAGGGGGAAAGCAAAAAACAAATAAAATATTTGAGCTCAAATCACATTTTAAAAATTAAAACAGCTTTTTTTGAACTATGATTTACATACTATAAAATTCACCTGTTTTAAGCATACCATTCAAAGATTTTTAGTAAACTCATCAAATTGTGCAACCATCACCACAATCCAACAAAACATTTCTAGCACTTCAAAAAGACCACTCGTGCCCAAGTTGTGCACCAGGTTCCAAAGATGCCTGAAGGCATTCCCAGAGTACAAGCCATTGGGCTTGGCCACCCTGCCCCCTACCCTCGACCTAGTTAATACGACATATCTCCAGAAACCTGGGAGGCACAAGCTGAGCAGGTGGCCATAAGATACCTGCTTACAAGAGAGTACCTGCTTCAGTACAACGAACCCAGTCTCCTAGAGCCCATCAAAGATCCTGCTTTGAATCACTGGGCCTACACAAGATCAGCAAATGCCTATCCCAATTTCAGACCCACTCCCAAGGCCTCACTCTTAGGAGCTGTGATTGGAATTGGGTCCCTCTTCTCTGGTATTACATTTTTAAAACTGATAGAGAGACAGGAAAGAAAAACTTATTCAGGAAGGAAAATTGGATCAAACATTTAACATCTCACATTAAGTCTAGTATGAGGACTATATGTACTATTGTTTAAATAAGTCTTCTATTAATTATTATAAAAAACAAGCATCCTTGTGCCTATTAGGAGTCACTGCCCAGTTCCACCCCAACCCAGGCAATCACTAATCTACTTTCTGTCTCTACAGATTTTCTTCTCTGAACTTTTCATGTAAATGAAATTGTACGGTATGAGGACTATGGGTCTGGATCCTTCTACTTGGCAAAATGCTTTTAAGCACTGTCATCCATATAACATGTATCAGTGCTTTGATCCTTTTTATGACTGAAACATATTCCATTACATGGATATACCACATATTATTTACCTATTCATGTGATGATGGGACATTTGGGTTATTTCTACTTTTGGCTATTATCGAACCCTAAGGTAGGGTTATGTGTCCGCAACAGAGCAGAAACCGAAGTAACCGCTTGAGCTAAAGCTGACCCAACTTTTGGCTATTATCAAATCACTTTCAAAAACACAAATTCTACAGGTTTAGGGTGAGAATTTTTTTTAATTGGAATAAAAGAAAGATTTACCAGACATACTTAAACTAATCACACGTGTTCTTATTTTTAGTTAGTGATTTATTTCAATAAGTACCTCACTGGAAAGAATAACTTTCAACTAATTTGACAGATGGCATTAAACCAGTTAACAGCATTAACAATGCCATATGGTAAAAAGAATATTTGAAAGTTTAGAGCTGTTAATTTTTAGTTTTTTTATACCATCAAGTTTCCTAAGGTATTTATGATTAAGTAGTTTAAAATAATCTGGCATATATATATATACACACACACACACACGCACACACACATACATACATATATATACATATATACACATACACACACACATACACACATACATACATACATACACATACATATCCTTTATTTCCTAAAAAAATCCTATTTCCATGTGATATATGAAACAACTGCTTAGATGAGGTACCAAACTATAACATCTTATAACACTTCATTAAAACCAGTAATTATCGCCCAGCCAGTGTGGGTCAGTGGTTAGTCCACCAGCCCACATACTGATGGGTTGAAAGTTCGGTTCCTGGTCAAAGGCACGTATCTGGGTTGTAGGTTCGATCCCCGGCCCCAATCAGGGCACATGTGGGAGGCAACCAATCGATGTGTCTCCCTCATATCGATGTCTATCTTTCTGTCTCTGTCTCTTCTATCTCTTCCCCCCTTCCTCCTTCCCTTCCACTCTCTCTAAAAAATCAATGGAAAAATATCCTTGGATGAGGATTAATAAAATAAATAAATAAAACTTGTAATTCTGCCGAAACCGGTTTGGCTCAGTGGATGGAGCGTCAGCCTGCGAACTGAAAGGTCCCAGGTTCGATTCCGGTCGAGGGCATGTGCCTGGGTTGCGGGCACATCCCCAGTGAGGGATGTGCAGGAGGCGGCTGATCGATGTCTCTCTCTCATCGATGTTTCTGGCTCTCTGTCTCTCTCCCTTCCTCTCTGTAAAAAAATCAATAAAATATATTAAAAAACAAACAAACTTGTAATTCTACTATGAGAGCAAAACAAGTAATGCTGCATTATTAATGTGAAAAAGCACTATCTTGGCAGAACACATAAGAAATGTCTGTAAAGTCATATTTAAAAGCCTTTGTGGGAGACACTAGCACTTGCCAACCCAGCAGCCATTCCTCCTCCTTTCTTTTTTCCATGGCCCTTTCACAATTATAATGGCCAATGATTTTTCTTCCTTATGACCATACATCTTAAAAGGTGCACCTTACAATCAATAGAGTATTAGATTCAATATGGTATTTGCCAGGTGCTAGGGATACAGAGAACAAGGTATAGTTCTTGTCTATAGAGCAGGGGTGGGGAACATCCAGCCTGCTGGGCCATATAAGGCCCACAAAATCACTTGGGCTGGCCCTGCCAAAGCATTAGGGTGAGTTAATTAAATGTTCGACCAAATATAGCAGTCTCATTTTTAAGTTGATAATTTTGTATGGTCTTCGAATGATGTTAAAAATATCTAAGTGTCCCTGGGCAGAAAAGGTTCCCCACCCCTGATGCAGAGTTTACAACCTGGTAAGAAACACAAGTAAACCAACAGCTACAGTGCAATGTGATAGTTATGAGAAATGAATGAAACAAGCAATGAAAACACAGTAGGAGGCAGCTAAGTCCTATGGAGAAGTGAACATGAAAGATTTTTATTTACATTTTTGAAGGATCAATGGTCCTTCGATCCACTTTCAAACTCGAGTAATTCTTGGTAGAGGAGTATTTTTTAGTAACATACAAAAGGAGAGGTGTATTTGAATATAATGACATCAACTGAAGAAAACATTTCCAGAACTAGGAAATGACAGTATTCTACTAAACAAGTAACTTAGTAACCACCTTACCTGTCTTCTGGTAATTCAACAGGTTTAATCTGGAAGTCTCCATTGACTACAATTTCATGGGCTAGAGCCATGTTAGTGACTCCTTTTGCTGTCTCTAGAAGCTCTTCTACTGTCACAAAGCGAGGAGGACTGGCTGTAACAAAAAATCCAGTGTAAGAGATTTGCTTCTCTAGATTAGAATTTCTATTAAAGTAAGGAGAAGGAAGTGGTTCTGGGACTAGCTAATAATTTTTGGTTAGGCCTCTACTTAAGAAAATATTCTGGCAATTTCAAACAAAAAACCTATATTATTATTATCATTTTTTTAATCTAGAGTCCTAAAAGCAGAAATCATTTACAATTCTCAAAACATGTTTTGTTTTACTAAGACTGGTCAATGAGAAATGATTACAATTAACTGAGACAGAAAAACTTTTACAGACTATCAATCCTAATGACAAATGAGAGACGCCAGATTTAAGATTTCCTGTTTTGCTCCCATGAGCAGTTACATATTGTTCCACCAATAACACTATCCATGAATGAATCTCCCAAAATTAAAACAGCAGCAAGTACTTTAGGTGCCAGGTGCTGTTTAAACATTGCCAAAACACTACCCTGTACAGATACCAAGAGAGAACATGAGTTCTAAAGCTGACCAATGAAGAAATCGGAGGGTATGTGACACAAGAACTTTGTAGAATACAGGCTCACTGTATCAAAAGCTTGAATCCTCTGGTTTCTCCCATCCCACAGCCCTGATATCCAAGTCCTGTAGATTTCACTTCCGTATCAACAGCTGCAATAACTGGACTCCATCTCTCCCTCTCCTTTGATAAAACTTGTTATTTATCTTCCAGAAATCTCCCCAGGTGTTCTGAGCCAAGGAACACTGGATAATTCTGATAAATACATGGATTTTTTTGTATATCAATAAAGCTGTTTTTAAAATAAAGTCCATGATAGCAGTGCTTTAGTCTATAACAGAATTGGGCGGGGAAGGGGGAAATGCTTGTGAAAACAGATTGCTGGGCCCTCCTCACAGGGTTCTGATTGAGCTGATCTGGGGTAGGGCCAGAGAATCTGCATTTCTCACATGTCTCCAGCTGATACTCATGGTTGCAGAAATCATACTTTGCAAAGCAATGGCCTAGATTAGAAGATGACAATATTAAGTTTATGTCATCTGATAGGATCTGGGCTTAAAATGAGGTAAATAATGTCACTGGTTTACACAGGGTTTAATAGTTACAAAGTTTTTAAGTTGGTGAAAAGTAATTTTTCTTCCTCTTTTACTTTTTTCTTTTGCTCAGCAGAAAAAGGGAACTAAATCCAAGAGCTGGTCATACACCGTCTGGTAAAAATTTTTATTTGGTCACACAAGGGGAAGTTGGAAAAATGCAACAAAATTCTAAGCATTTCCAGAAAAATATTAATAAAAATAATAATTTGCTTCATTAATATTAAAAAATAGAATACCCAAAATCAAAGCCCAGACAGAAATTCTCAATATTATTAAGATGTCAATTTTTGCCAAATTGATCTATTGATAAAATGCAACCACAGTCAAAGTCCCGGCAAGATTTTTTTTGTTAAAATTGCCAACCTGATTTTAAAATTTATATAAAAATGCACCAGACCTATAAAAGGCAAAATCATTTTGAAAATGAAAAAAGAATGAAGTTGGAGGCCTCATACTAACTGATTTCAATACCACATAAAGCTACAATAATCAAGACAGGGTGTTCTTGGTACGAGGATAGACATAGATCAACTAAAGAGAGTAGAAGATGCAGAAATAGGCGAATACAACACACACACACAGGAACTATACATGTGGTCAATAATGCAAAATTAATTTTTTGATCAAATGGTGCTGGAACAATTAGATAGCATATGTCTAAAAAAATGACTCCCGAACAGGCCGGTGTGGCTCAGTTAGAATGCTGTCCCAAACACCAAAAGGTCATGGGTTTGATTCCAAGACAGGACACATACCCAGGTTGTGGGTTTGATCCCTAGTCTCATGTACAGGAGGCAACCAATTGATGTTTCTCTCTCACATAGTTTCTTTCTGTCCCTCTCTTCCCCTTCCTTTCTCTAAAATCAATTTTAAAAAACCCACATATCTTTGGGTGATGATTTAAAAAAGGGGGGGAATGCCTGACCGGTTTGGCTCAGTGGATAGAGTGTATTATAGTGACAGAAAGCAGATCAGAGGTTGCCCAGGGATGGTGGAGAAAGTGGAAGATTTATGTGAAGGGGCACAGAAAATTTTGGGGTGATGGAAATGTTCTAGCACAGGGGTTCTCAACCTTCCGAATGCCGCGACCCTTTAATACAGTTCCTCATGTTGTGGTGACCCCCAACCATAAAATTATTTTCGTTGCTACTTCATAACTATAATTTTGCTACTGTTATGAATCATAATGTAAATATCTGATATGCAGGATATATTTTCACTGTTACAAATTGAACATAAAGCATAGTGATTAATCACAAAAACAATATGTAATTATATATGTGTTTTCCGATGGTCTTAGGTGACCCCTGTGAAAGGGTCGTTCGACCCCCAAAGGGGTCGCGACTCACAGGTTGAGAACCGCTGTTCTAGCAGCTCATGATCGTGGTGGTAGTGACACAACTGTAAATGTATTAGTCAAAACTCATTAATCTACACACTTAAAATTGGTGAATTTTACTATGCAGTATAAATTATGCCTCAATAAAGTTGATTAAAAATTTGAAGGCACTCAATAGGGATTTACTATATATACAACAATTACTAAATTTCTTCAAGCCATTCATCAGAAAATGGAACGTCCACTGTAGTATATCAATATCATGCATCAGGAGTTATTAAACTCCGAGCTCTTAATCTCTTAAAAAGAAATCCAGAGATTGTCACCAGGGTTTCCAAGTTTGTTTTAACCTTGGTTTTGCAGAATCTCCAAATGTATAATCATCTTAAATTTATGAAATAACAGAAACACACCAAGTTCTCCTGGTAATAAAAAGGGTCCAATGCTTGCTATAATAATACAACGTTAACTTTCGTCTTGGCTGCTGACACGCCATCCAGACCGAGGAAGACCTGGAAACTTCAGGGCCACATGAGCCACGGCCACAGCCGCATCAGCAGGCACTGGAAGCCCCTGGAGGGAATGCTGGTGGCATGCGTCATCCCAGGGTCAACTTGGACAAATATCACCCAGGTTACTTTGGTGGCATTACCACTTAAAGAGGAACCAGAGCTTCTGCCCAACTGTCAATCTTGACAAACTGTGGGCCTTGGTCAGTGAGCAGACACAGGCAAATGCTGCCAAAACAAGGCTGGAGCTGCTCCTTTGAAGCCACATGGACAAAAGTTCATGAAACATTCGTAAGTGCTTTCCCTCCCCACCCGCAAAAGGGTACTATGTTGACTAATAAATTATCTGGAAACACAAAAATGTTTGTACTTCTTCCAACTATGAAGAATTACTGATCATCTACACTTTAAAGAGATAACATCAGCAATGACATTCTTAGACTATGACATCCCCTCTTAAAACTTCCATTTTTGGACTCACTTCAAAAAACATAAGTATTCTTAATAAAAGACATGAGTTGGGGCAACTGCTGGGAATGTCTGCAAAAACTGCCACCCTTTCATCTTAGGAGGCCTGCTCCCTGCCAGGGATCTGAAGTATCTTTACCATGTATGTTCAGCAATTTGAATTCCTTCAACCTGTGAGAACTCAGCCTCCAGGCAATGAACCTAGGGTGTGGTGAAGTCACTCTAGTTTAATACCCCCCCCTTTTTTTTTTAACCTGCACAGGCACAGTCCTTGCTGGAACCTGCTTCAGACTTTCAAACACTCTTTTAATTAAAACTGCAATATAGAATCCAACCTCCTATTTTTCAGAGCACTTCGGAGAAACTGGAATGTCACTGAGGCTGCATAAAGACAGGAATATTCTGGACATTATTCAAAAACTTTAATTTCTCATGCAATTGAAAACCCACAAGTGACTAGGCTGCCAGTTGGAAGAGAAAGAAGAAACTGTCATTGTTCTTAAATGCTAATTAGTGGCAATGTTATCATATTATCAGAAGCTAGCTCAGGGAGGCCTAATAAAAATATCATCTGAAAATATTGCTTTTAACCAACGTTAGATTTGCTTACAGTGAGGTCTTTGCACTCTTCGGGTGCTAGGAGAGCCTGACTTTTTTTTCTGTAAAGCTTCATCAGAACCTTCCATGGCATTTTCAAGGCTTTGTTCAGAATCATTTGATTTTGATTTTCCTGCTTCATTTATATTGGACTTTTCAAGATTTTCAGACATTCTCAATTAAGTTTATTCACTTTCCTAAAAAGATAATGAACCTGGGAAGAAGAAAAAAAAAAAAGAGCAAAATGTTTTAGCTCTGTCAGTAACTAGCAGTGTGACTCCTGACAAATCATTTAATCTCGTTGGGTTTCAGCTTTCTCATCTGTAAAAGAAATAGGCTTACTAGGATCTTATCCAGTTATAATATTCTACTCTAATGATTAAACATACACTTTTGTTATTTATCAAATTAATGGACCTGTATCTCAGATGGAGAGTAACAAGTTTGAGTATTTTTGTCCCATTCCTGAGTACCATGTAACATTAGAACACAGGGCTATAAATTGCCTGCTTCCGTTTTAATTCAAAGAGTGATTCGACTCTTAAAACTCTTTACTTTCACTCCTGAGTGCTGGTAGGAAAACTTTGGAAATAATGTGTTAATGTTTAATCAGGCTTCCAAGAGAACACACTGGCTGAGGAGTTGGTTCCCGGATCCCATTATGTGAATGAGATACGTTGGATGACAGATAGAAGGTAGAATCTTATGAAGCATTTAAGAAGAATGTGTGGGGCAAATACTCTTATTAACTCCTTACCAGTCAGCAGAAAAGGATGATGAGTAACGCAGGAAGTTGCCAATAACCATGATATATGTGGCTGGGTGCGGTTTTAATTTTTTTAGTTGCTGATCAGAACTAAACATGTCAGTTTGGGCCAGTTAATAAAGGCCTGGAATAGTAACCTCTTATTTACTGGATAAGTTTTTGTCAAGTTGGTTTCCACCCCCGTTTTGGAGTTCTCTATTCCTAAGGTATTTCCAATTGAGGGAGGAGAAAGATGTAACGTTCCGTTCCTGCACTTACACTACTGAAAATAATCCGTCTGGGTATTATTAGCATTTGAAGATCACAAAACATTTTCATAAACACTAATTAAACTTCATTACACACCTGGCAGGTAATCCAGAGATCAGAAGAAGAGTGAATGGCAGATTCTCTTCTGCACATCAGAGAAAAATCACCGATTCAGGTAGAATTACCTGAAATTTTAGATACCGCCATTAAATAGAATGAAGTTCCTGGAATTTACATTTTCAGGCCTGTATTATTCATATGAAGACTCTTTTCCTTCCTTCCTTCCTTCCTTCCTTCCTTCCTTCCTTCCTTCCTTCCTTCCTTCCTTCTTTCCTTTTCTTGAATGGAAGGTTGCCACATGCAGCACCTCATTTGAATGTGTCTGGAGTCTTGGGAGCTTGACTACCCTATGCTCTACAAATGGACCCTGAGAGCTGGTCTGGAGATTCTAGCAGGAGAGTGCAGCTACTGGTATACCCTTGACCCAAGAACAGTTAGTCCTCCTCCAGAGGGGAAGGCCCTCTTCGACGAAGAGCACAGCTTGGGGAGAAAGGCAGATGGAGTGGTGAGGGAGGAAGGGGACACCTGCCTAACCAGCCAGATCAGCCAAATCAACCCTGGCAATCAGTGGGGTGACAGACGTTGCAGCCAGATCACCCTCACGTCCTGAAGAGTCCACGTGGCTTTAAAACAGTTCCCCTTTACCTTCCAGCATCTCACTCCAGACACCCATCTCCTCTCTGTTCTAAATCCTATTTGGCTCTGGAAATGCTCCAAGAGCCAACAGATAACATTACCGGCAAATCCTAAGAGAAAGGACAAACAAAAACACTTCTAATTTTATCCCTTTCACATGCTGGGAATGAGCTCAAGAAGGATGAAGTAATTCATTCTATGCTCTGAGGAGGAAAGGCAGGAAACTTAGCTACATAAACTAACCCTCCTGGTAAGATTAGGCTCGGGTCCACGCTCCTCCTAGGACCTTCCCCAACCTCACCAGTATTTGCACCTTTCTCTGAACTCCTGCAGGACTGGTTACTAGACATCTGGCATTCACCGTTGCCTTAAATCCAATTCAAAATATGCTTCTTTAAGTAGTAAGAGGAAGATGAAAAGGCATGGTTTAGAGGGAGTGACATTCTGACAAGGAAACACGGTGAAACTTAAGCCTTCATGGCATTATGAAATCACTAAGGAAATAGAGCAGAGGGAGAAACTAATTCTGCCTGCAAGGAGGTTGGTATTCCCAGGAAAGGGGACATTTGAGCTGGTCTTTTAGAAAAGAGTAGGATTTCCTTCAATTAAAAAAAAAAGTTGCCGAAACCGGTTTGGCTCAGTGGATAGAGCTTCGGCCTGCGGACTGAAAGGTCCCAGGTTCGATTCCGGTTAAGGGCATGTACCTGGGTTGCGGGCACATCCCCAGTAGGAGATGTGCAGGAGGCAGCTGATCGATGTTTCTAACTATCTCTCTCCCTTCCTCTCTGTAAAAAAAATCAATAAAAAAATATATTTTAAAAAATGATTTAAAAAAAATGTCTGGAGTGGGAGAGGAAGAGCACAAGTGGAGGCACATAAATAAGTAGCATAAGAGGCAGGTGAGGAAGGTAAAAAGACGGGTTGGGGCCAGATTGTAAAATTGCTAGTTTTCTTTAAAAACAAACAAACAAACAAAAACAACTTTTCACCTAGATTTTTAACTTCTTAAGGGCCAAGACCAACCATAGCCCACGTATGCTCCATGCATATATGCCCCAAACAGACACCCACTAAGGATCTGTTGACAGCTGTGTCATCTCAGTGATGTCGGTGTCTGCGGGAGGGATGGGCGCTGGTCTCGGACATGCACGGGTCCCCATTCTGGCCCTTTACCAGCCCCGCTTCCCCACCTGGACAACGCCGCTAGCCTGCGCCTCTCCGGTCTGGGGGACGTTTAAAGGCAGACCGTGCAGGACAACAGATGGCTCCCGACCGGCTTCCCGTGAATGGCAGGGGCGGTTCCGGGCTGGAGGATGCATTCACTCACTCAACACTCCCCAATGCCCGCCAAGCCTGGAAAGGGAGCCGAGGGGCGGGGTCCCCGCTCGGGCCGTGAAGACCGCCTCTCGGAGCTTCAGCCCGGGCCGAGCTGGACACCAGAGACGCCCCAGCAGAGAGGGTCTTTCGGCAAAACGCAGGGGCTCGGGGCACCACGCCGGGAGCCACGTCCTCTCGCACGCGGCGCCCCTCCTCCCACACGGCTTTGTAAACAACTGTTTGGGCCAGCGAGGGAGTGGCCCAGCCGGAGGGCAGCGATGGAAGCGGGGCGCGCCCGGAGAATCGCCGCGAGGGGTGGGACGCAGGCCGCGCTA